GTCATGGAGACGTGTGTGTGTTTGTGTGTGTGCATGTTTATTATAGTTTATACAGTCATTGTGAGGACATTTTGGCTGGTCCTCGCAAATTCAATGGGCTGTTTCAGGCTTAAGACTTGGTTTTAAGGTTAGGGTTAGAATTAGATTTATGTCATGACATTTAGTTGTGATGGTTAGGGTAAGGGGCTAGGGAATGCATTATGTAAATGAGTGTCCTCACAACTATAGAGAGACGTGCGTGTGTGTGTGTGTGCGTTAATTGTCACCGTTCGTTTGAAAGGAATCTAGATGCACATAGAAATGCACATTTGTCCATATGGGAATATCTATTCTGAGAATTATTTCAAGCTGCTCAGCCGGAAACCTGCAAGCTGTTGTCGATTGTGTTGTTATTTAAAGTGTTAAAAGTGATGCAAATGAATGATTTTAAGCACGAAGACTTTCTGAACTAGAATCAGGTTACTCTCAAACTGGTGAACAAAGGGATTGATTGGCCGACAGACAGATGTGGACTGACTGCTGCTCACTGTCTGACATGCACTCTCTTAACAAGCTGAGGCACTTTGCACCACATGCATTCAATGTGATATTTTCACCTCTGTCTCACATGCACGGTCTGCGGCACCACTTAAGACAGTTTTCCTCATTTTTTCAGTCTGTCCGGATGTCCCATCGCTGCAGCCGAGAAGCTGGCCAAAGCCCAGGAGAAGCACCAGAGCTGTGACGGCCCCAAATCCAACCAGTCCTCCGACCGAGTCTTAAGGTAGTATTCGCTCTTCATTATATTTCCACATCATATATAGGGCAAGCAAATATAGATTTTGTGTCAAGACGTCAACACAATAAAATACTTGAAGACCTCTTTTCAGCCATGTTGGTATATGTTTTTTTATTTTTTTGTATCCTAAAACTATTGATGTCTTAAGTCTTCCCCTTTTTTTTGTGTTACACTTGTTCTCCTGTCTCCTGAGAATACGTTGCATCTTCATTTCCCTGCTCACTATCAAAGGCAAATCGCTTTATTAGATTGTAAAAATAAATAGCACATTTATCATTGAAAAGGTAAGAACATTTTGAATGAGGTTTACTTTGATACTCATGAAATATTATCATGAAAAGTTTTAAGTAATTGTACAATTTATATTCATATCCAACCAACCATCAACAGCATTAGATCTCACATCTCAATCTTCCAGGTCGTTTATAAGCCTGTAAAGGCAAATCAAAAGCAAAAAGCATATCAAAAGTATGCAAAATTAATCAAAGATGTGGAAATTAAGTTTTCCTGCTTCTTATTCACTATTCATGAAAAAAAAAACCTGTGGTAGAGGGTTGTGTTTTTTCATGGAAAAGGAGCAAAACATCCATGCCACGACATGTCCTGCACGACACCCCCCTTCATCTGCCAGCATTGTCCTTGACATTCTAATCCCGAAGTTTAACCATGACAGTCTGCCCCTTCCCCCTGCATCCGCCCATTCTTTCTTATTTTACCCAAACCCACCAAGTTCCGTCTCCTTCCCCCTGGGCAATGTTGACTGCCTCGGTCCAACTTCCACCCCCTCGTCATTTATTTTCCAGGCCTATGTGCTTTGTCAAACAACTGGACTATCCACAGTATGGTTACAAGAACAATGTCTCCACCAGCACGCCCCGCTCCAACCTGGCCAAGGAGCTGGAGAAGTACTCCAAGACCAGCTTTGACTACAGCGCCTTCGACGGCAGCAACAACCACCAGGTGTACGGGAAGCGGGCCATCGCGCCCAAGGTGCACGGACAAAGGGACACCTCGCCGAAAGGATACGACGGTACTACATCAAAGCAAAACTTTATTTCCACTGCTATGACTTTACCGTGACACATCTTTATTTCAATTCATCCCATGTTGAATGTACTTTTTATATTCAGTATTAAAAAAAACTCACACAGTGTGTAGAGTTCACATTCCTTTTAGCTGTCTCAAGCATACATTTCTTAGAGTTGTGAAATCCTCTGATTGCTGTGGCCTGTGGTGTTGCTCCTAGATAAGAGTGTCATTAAAGATACCAAACCTAATCAACCATATGTTTAGTACAAAGCTATGTATAAAGATTTAACTATCAAGTATCAAAGAAATAAAAAGGTTTGAAAAGGAAAATCCTAATCTTTTATCACTTAAAGCTGTACAGTGTATGACAGGTCATAGGATCTGTCTTAAAACTCTGTGTCAAACCTACCTAAACCAAATGAACTCACCTTTAAAGGTGGAGTTAATGATTCTGGGGAACCACTGCTGATATTCAAAAAACAAAAACAGTCCTTACTTCACTGCTCCTTTAGAAGCTCCACCCTTCACTTTCATGCACGTGTATAGCCAAGGTGCACCACTGAGCCACCACAAAAATTAATATATCTGTAGACAAAATAGACTCTGCATTTACAAAAACGACGTGTTCAACAACTACAATCAGCCACAACGGTGTATGTGTGTTGTGTGCTGCCCTTGAAGAAGCAGACAGTCAAACACTGATGAACCGTTATCTCTGGACCACTGGGTTAAGTGACTGGCTGCTGCCCACTCGGGGTATGTCATGAACTGGTGTGTGGTCACCACAGCCCACTGCATGGTCTGGGGGCGACTCATGTTGAAATGACTCAGCGATGATTATGTGGGTCTTCACCAATTTCATTATCTACTTTTGGTTAGCAGTAGTCTTTGGTGATTCATTTTGAAAGTAGCATTTCCAAGTTGTTGTTCTGAAACAATAGCAGTTTAAACAGGTGATGTTTAAACGTGTTTTATTCAAAATCTCTATAAGAAAGAGGATTATTGTACAGTTAGCATCTACAGATATTCAGGGACCGTTCCTTCTGCCCCTTCACTCCACTCTTACTGTGCATGAATACCCTTGTTGCTGATTGGCTGGAACAATGTTGTGATGTTGGGTGGTCCAACGTGGTCCAATGTAAAAACCATGTATTGCATTAAAATTGTTCTCTTTTGAATTTCTGCAATGGTCCCGCAGCCAAACGCTACTGCAAGAACTCCAGCTCGGCCAGCAGCACAACCAGCACCTACGCTCCCAGCAGCAGCAGCAGCAGCCTGAGCTGTGGTGGCGGTGGAGGGGGCGCGGGAGGTGGCGGGGGCAGCAGCGCCAGCAGCACCTGCAGCAAGAGCAGCTTTGACTACAGCCACGACATGGAGGCTGCCCACATGGCAGCCACGGCCATCCTCAACCTGTCTACACGCTGCAGGGAGATGCCACATGGCATGGGGGGGAAGCCGCCGGACCTGTGCTCGCAGGTAAGAAGCGGGAGACTGGAATAACTGTCATGATGTAAATGTTAAATGAGATCAACTCCTGTTTTGGTGGAAGTTAAAGAAAACATATTGCCTGATTTGACATGTTAGCCTCCATGAGTGTTAACTGTATAAGACTGTCCTCATACTGTAGCAACAAAATGAAAAAAAAAGACAGATTATATCTGTGCTTCCTTCATTATACTGATGCTGGCAGTGATCACTGTCAAAGATAGGGAGGTTTCAGATGTGCACACCACATGTATACACACACACACACACTCACACAGAGATTCCATTAAAGATCCAAGGCTGTGTCTTACACTCAGGGCTCAGCGGGGCAGTTTTTTATTTTCTGTCTAGGGATCAGATAGGAGCAGGACGAAGCGCCGTTTGACACGGCGTGAGCCCAGTGTGTCATTTCTGAGCAGATAAGGGGACGGTGTTCCTGTGTTATCTGCATCCAGATGCTGAGCGGGAAAATAGGGGCCAGAAAGAGGGAGAGAGCGCTCATGCAGCAGAGGGCTAATGCTGGCTCAATGCTAATGTTGACAGCGGAGGAGAGGAGAGGTGTTGCAGGGAAAGAAAGGAGGTAAATGAAAAACAAGCAACAAATGCCTGAAGCGTCCCTGCTCTGGTCCTATCTCAGTTCATTGTGTGTCCTTCTCGTGCTTCGGGGGCCAAACGGGCAGGATGCTCTCAGGGCAGAACGGGAAGACAGGAAACTTCAGATTTCAGATCAGACTTTCAAATCAGGGTTTTTCTTTTTCTTCTTCTTTCATCTAACACCTCACGGCACACACTGTTCCTTTCTGTCTGAATGAAACTTCACACACACACACACACACACACTCATACATTCTCGCCTCCTTGTTTTTCCAGTCTGTCTATCTGTTCGCTTCTCTTTCTCTCAGTCTACTCATTGGATTATTTGATAGGTGCATTGATACAAAGACTGACATTTATTGCATGTATTTAATGTAATGTCTGAAAGGAGACTGATGTAAACAGTAAAGAAAACCTAGGATGTGTTTTTGAGTGCAAAGTTTATCGACCAGTGAGATTAGTCCCCTTTGAAGGTGGTCACCAACCTTAAATCACACAAGCCTTGTCATACTTCAGGGGCTCCTTTGGGAGGACGCCAATGAAGAACGCCATCTTTGCGTGCAAACTGAAATGAGCCTTGTCAATGGAGGAGATTTTCTTAATTGGCGTCATCAGCTTATTGCTGTCGCCTGCAGTTGTACACTTGTACCATCAGATGTTCAGTTGAGTTGAAACGTGATACTCAAGTTTCAGACAAAATTAGACACTCCGCTGTGACAGGTCCTTAGATTAACTGTCCATTAAATTGTAGATTGATGATACTAAAAGTTTAATTTGTACCTTTAAAAATGTCATGAAAAGATTTTGAATGTAGGACAATGTATTAACCCCCAAGCTTTGGATAATTTGTGTGTATTTGTGCAAATCTAAGATAGATTCCAAGGACGTCCTAACATTTAGTCAAAATAAGATAATCCCTGGTGTCAGCAAATTGTCAAAAAGACGTACAGGCAGCTGTGAATGTTTTGCAAGTTGGAAAGGGAGGAGGAGGAGCAGTGAGAGACACGAACATGAGATACAAGCAGAGAAAAGTCAGAAAGAGGACGACGGGACACAACACTGGTTTTATTTTAAGACCTGGGAATAGGTGGGCGGAAGTAATGCATCGGTACGAGAATCAGCAGAAGGGACCCTCGTCTGACCCTTTATCCTCACAGCATCGTCATGGCAACCAGGGTCAGGGGGTTGGTGGAGTGTCAGAGCGGGAAGGGGGTGGGTCTGTAATGAAGGAGGTGAGTGGGGGGTACGTTTCCTCACATATCACCCTTGTTAATTTGATATGAAGGGGTGGGTCACATTAATTGGATGGTTACACACAGTACAATGGCTGACAAGGAGAGGGGCACTCCGCCGGGCACATTGGCGAGGAAGGGACGAGTCACGGCAATGCGTGCAATCGTATCCATGTCTGTCTGTCATGATGATTCCCAAGGTTTCTTTCTTCTTATTTTTCTTTTATCGTACCTATATCTCACCCTGAGTTATGTTTCTAACAGTTATAGTGTTTTTACTACACTTTTTCCTTTCTTTTTCTTCTTCCTCCTTTTCTATTTTTAAGTCCTCTGCTAAGCCACAGTTCTTGCAGTATTCATCGCCCAGTCCCAATATCACCCCTGTGCATTTTGAGTCGGCGTGCGTCACAGAGGTTTTTGGCTTCAGACACCAGGAGAATCCACCCCCAGGGACACTGTCGGCTGGAATAAGCGTTAGAGCGTGCGTTGTTACTCGTGAAGGGGAGTGAAAGGAGCGAGGAGGGCGAGAAGGGGAGATGGGAAATAAGGGACAGAGGGGATATTAATGAGAGCATGGACATAAACACATGTACATACTTACAGAAATATAAGTCACTGAAGGTCTGGGATCCTTTGACAGTACGTGTCAGATCTGGATTAAGAAAAAACAAATGTTTGTATAGACAATGATACAAACTTCAGGAAAAAAAAGTGAATGCAGGAGTGAGAAGCTGATGTCATTGGATGAGTCCCAAAATTACAAAAGTATCATCCTCAAATCAAATTGGGTCTGATATAAATATTCATAAAGGAAAATATACAAATGACAACAGACCAAATCTCCACAAATTGACAGAGAATGGTGAATAAGGAAAAAGTTAAAAAAAAAAAACATAAACACATACTGTGCATATACCTCTATGCAAAAAATATACATCAATACGCCCACACACACACACACACACACACACATATATATATGGCAACAAAGAATCAAAGGGCATATAACAGCTATAAAGTGATATAGATAAGTATGATACATTTATGAATATTGCTCAGTGATTTAAGGTGACATGGTGAATATGATGAACATGTACATGATACATGTGATAACATTGCACAGTGGAGTCACTGCTCTCAACCCCCGCCCCTAAGCCTCAGCCCCTGCCCCCTCCATGCTTGCGTCCGCTAACATTAGGCTCACACACACACACACACACACACAC